GACTCAAAAAAAAGCAGGGCATCAAAAAATTTCGCGTCTGCAGGCGCTTTTCCTACGCGAAGCTCGTAGTGGGCCAACAAGAAACACTTCCTGCAAATTCCCCCACCCCCCCCCCCCCCCCCCCCCCCCCCCAAGACAAAATCCTGGCTACGCCAGTGGACGGGATATTATAATTTCGAAATAATAATATAGCAAAACACTCCAAACAGATCCGACTTCCGCACAAATGAGATGCAGTTATTCGCTTTCCGGCTCCTTTTAAACTTCAACAAACTTTGCTTTTTCTTTGTTCTGATACAACCCTGTTGCGTGACTCCGTTCTGCAGCTTTTCTCGCCGAAACTATCTCTCTTTCTTTTTGCGTGCTAGATCGGAGAGAGACATACATATGTATATTGGAAACAAACATTGAGCCCATGCGCAAAGTAAGAACTCCATGCTCGCCTATTGGTTGAATAGTTTGGCTTCAAAAAGTGTGGAGATTTGTTCCACTGATTCGCTTTGGTTTGCATCCAGGGTCCAAATGGGTGTGTTTTGGTGCCGTGTCGGAACAATTCCGAACTACTCCAGTTGCGTTTTTCTGTAGAGGTCGTTTCACGTGCTGCAAGTGCGCATGCGCAAGATACGAACTCCTCGCTCGCCGAACTCCTCGCTCGCCTAATGGTTGAAGAGTTTGGCTTAAATAAATGTGGAGCTCAACTGATTCGGTTTGGTTTGAATCCAGGGTCTAAATGGGTGTGTTCAATTGTCCTTGTCGGAACTATACCGAACTACTCCAGTTGCGTTTTTCTCTAAAGGGGATTTCACGTGCTGCAAGAGTTTGGTGCAAGTCGCAAGCGATCTTGCAAAAGGCCTGAGCAGTTGAAGCCCAGCTGACTGCAAGGTGCAAATCGCAGACTTATTGCTCGGTTTTGTTTCATATTTCTGCAAGTGCAAGTGTATTTTTGTGGGAAAATGTGGTATTTTTGGCATGCCAACTTCCAATGGAAGTTTAAAAGTAACTAGTCTAATAAAATATGTTTATTATCAGAATATGTCATTTTGTTTCAATTAGTTTCAATTTTCGATACAAAGAACATCTCACAATCACATGGATTTCGGTCACCGACAGATTTTGTTGAAAGTTTAGTATATTATAGTTACATCTGAATATAACCCAGAATTCTGCACTAAAAAAAAAAGGTACACAAATATAACGAAAAAGTGCATTAAGCCATTGAATCTCGTCATTAATATTGAGCCGGTTAACGAATTTGTTAATATTATGAACAGCTGTTCGTTGAATAGATGAAAAAAAAGTTCATTGAATCGCAGAGTAAGGATTCTATCATTTTGACGTATAGAATTCGTTGCCTGAGTGAAATAACTTCTTCAATATAATGTACAAATAACATTGGTTTAATGAATCGAATTTTCAATTTAATGTATGCGGTTTCATTGGCTTAACGTATGAATGCATTATCCTAGGCTCAGTTGCATGAACAAGATATTCATATTATGGGTTCTCTGATCTCTCGCTCTTTCCTGCGTGTCCTCTTTTCGGTCTCGTGTCTGCGTCGCTGTTCTTCAAAAGTTTGTGGTCCATCGTGGACTACTCGACTCCGCGAGGGCCCATTATTTGTCCTGGACTGTTGCTGATATCGATGTGGCACTTTGCCAAAACTTCCTTTAGAACATCTTTGTAGCGTTTTTGTTGACCTCCTTGATTCCGTTTTCCATCTTTCAGCTGACTGGGAAGACGTGTTTCGGGCATGCGAACGAGGTGACCTATCAAGCGAAGTTAGTGCTTGATGATAAGGGCTTCCAAGTTAGTTGGGTTGGCCTCCTCTAAAACACTAATGTTCGTTCGTCGATCTGGCCATTTAATCCGTAGGATCCTTCTTAGGCATCGCTGGTGGTATTTTTCTAGGCTTTTTATGTGTTTTCTGTGGGTGGTCCATGTTTCGCAGTTATTTATGTAAGTGTTGGTATTACAACTATATTGTAGACACGAAGTTTGATCTCAGCGCTGATGTCGTAATTGTTGCAAACTCTGTCTAGAAGTCGCCCAAACGCCGCGCTAGCACACTTCAAGCAATGTTGGATTTTAGCGTCAATGGTTGCCTGCGAGGACAGATGGCTTCCGGGTAGTGTCTCACGTTCTGTAATGTTTTCCGTACACTATAAATGAAGAAGTTATTCCACTCAATAAATACCTGAATTCCGAATTTTTTCCAAAAAGAGTTGAATTTAACACCAACACAAAATATAATTTCCGGATAATGTACGATATACTGTCGATAATATATTATATGGAGTGCGGGTGTGTTTAATGAATTCTATACGTTAGCATGACGAATAGGTCTATATTAAAACTATTAAATTCATTAAATTGATGACTAAAGTTCGTTAGTTATAAACGTCATTAAATCACTAACACATTCGTCAAGCTGATGAAACATATTCATTAATTAATGAACTCTAAAAATTCAGCATTTTTATATAGTGATCTAGATAAACCTGTTTATATGTTACAGCCTAAGGGCCTAAATGAAAACCCAAACTTAGTTTGTAAATTAACCAAATCTTTGTATGGCCTAAAGCAGGCTCCGAAGTGTTGGAACAATCTGTTCCACAAAAGCATAACTGATTTGGGTCTTTTGAGATCAAGAAAGGATCCTTGTTTATATTATAATGAAAGCACTTTTCTCTTATTATATGTCGATGACGTAATTATGTTTTCAAAAAGTAAAAATAATATTGATTTTATTGTACAGGAATTGGGTAAAAATTTTAAAATGAAACTTTTTAATAATCCCATAATTACTTTTCTTGGTCTGGAGATAACAAAGTTTAAAAATGAGCTATATATTTCACAAAACCTTTTGATTGAAAAATCCTTAACAAATTTAACATGGCAGACTGCAAAGCATCGGAGACACCTATGCAACCCAAACTGAATCTTGACTTTATTACAGATAATAAATTTGAAAATAACAATTTGCCTTATAAAGAATTGATTGGGTGTCTGATGTATGTTATGTTGGGATCCAGGCCAGATTTAAGCTATTCTATTACTTATTTCAGTCAATTTCAAAATAACTTTTCTTATGAACACTGGAATCATTTAAAGGGTGTGTTGAGATATTTAAAAAGTACTAAAAATTTTGGTTTGAAATATATAAAAGGCTCTGATCAAAATATTTCTGTCACGTCCTTTGTAGATTCAGATTTTGCTAACTCTGTAATAGACAGGAAAAGTATTACAGGGTTTGTTACAAAAATAAACAGAAATGTCATATGTTGGAAAACCAGGAAACAAAATACAGTTTCACTTTCAAGTGCTGAGGCAGAGTATGTGGCCTTGTCAACTTGCATTACGGAGAACATTTTTATCTGCCAATTGCTTTCAGAAATAGTAAATAAAAATGTCTTTCCAATCGATATATTTGAGGACAACATGTCCTGTATTAAAATGGCCTCAACACTTGAAACCAAACGTACGAAACACATTGACGTAAAACATCATTTTGTCCGTGATTGTTTAATTGAAAATAAAATAAACTTATTGTATGTCCCTACAGACAAACAAGAGGCTGACATGTTTACTAAAGCTCTTTCCAGCAATAAGTTTAAATACTTTAGAGATCTATTAAACATTGTTTATTTGAAATAGAATTTATTATCATATTTTTTTTGTATGTGTGTAATCTTTATAATATGTATTTGAATTTGATCTTTCGTTTTTTTTTGTTTGTGTAATGTATATTTTCTTTTTGGTGTGTGAATGTGAGTTTAGAATATTTGGTGCGGATGTTGTAGAATAGGTGTCGCCACCTGCCGGAAATCCTCTAAACTTACTTTAAATATTGTCGAAGAACTCTGTACATCTTCTTTTGTGAAATACAGAGTTCTTGGATTTAGGTAATCTAATTATTAAGTTTGGCAACACTGTAGTTGACAGTTGTACCAGTCAAAAATCAATAAGTAGAAGTTTGTTGTTTTTGGTATGTTTATATAAAAGTAAAAATAAAGAAGTATTCTGACAATAAAATAATAAAACGTTTTTATTATTTAAAAGTACTGGAAGAATCCCATAATATTCAATAAAATTGACTGCAAAAGAAATTGAACTCCTCTAAGTCTTCTATTCCGCTTTGCAATTAATGCTAAAGTATCTTTTTTTTTTAAGATAATTCGCCAAGTCAAAAATTTAGTAACTATGTTGGCAACACAAGCCTTTTCTACATAAAAAATTTGAAAGCATTGACATAATGTCATTTTGACTTTTATCTTAAAAAAAAACAGACTTTAAATGCTATGGCTTAATGGCAGTTTTGCTCGCATTGTCCATCAAAATTTATTTGGAATAGAAGCACAGATTATTCAATATTTATATAGGTATTCTTGATTATGGTTCACCAAAGCGTTCTTTTATGTAAATTGTGGTGGATTTGTGGTGCTTCCACCAATGACATCAAAGAGTCACTTGATAGCAATCAGCTGATGCAACAGTAAATTTTTGGTGGAAATCAACATAAACTTTCGGTGGAAAAAAGAACACCTTTATGGTTGGCTGAAATTTTTCGCCTGATTTGTTTGCTCACTTGCGGTTATGTTTTTTGTATGTTAATGTTAATTTTTACATCCTGTTTTGTCTTGTCTTCATTTATGAAGCTTCTGAATCGATTTGTGAATCTATATATGAAAGACATTCAAGTAGGTCCCCGTCCCCAAGAATTTGGACCTGTTAACTGTTTATAAACGCAACAATCCTCGAAAAGCAAACGCAAATATATTAAATTAATTGCATTTATTTATTATTAAGTACAACTGAACAGAACTCAGAACTCTAACTATAGTATAATTAATTGAATAAACAAAAAAATCTGAACGAAAACCACATTCTTATAACACAAAGGTATTCTAAAAAAGTCTCTTTTTTTCTTATGATTTTAACTAGAATAGATGAATAAGGTTAACCTAAAAACGGAACAAAAACTACAAATAGATAGTACCCATCTATAGAAGCTTCTTCATTTTTTTGTAGCAGTGAGGGCAGTGGGGGCACCAACGAGTTTTATTCTTAACTTGCTTGTACTGCAGCATCTCTCCCCTTTCTAAAATCGGTCTGAGGGCTCTACCTTCCGCATCAAAAATTTTCATGGGATCGTTCGGTAGCATCTCCTTCGTCAAGGGTCTCCTGGTGAAACTGGAACCTTGGCCGAGTTTGGGAATGGGGGATTCAAAAGTTGGCTTGTAATCCTTCGGCTTGTACCGTGTCAGCCAGGTGTCCTTCTTAGGTATTTCGGAGAACATAAAAATTTTTGCTCCATTGACAGGGGGGCTTGAAAGCATGGGTGCCCCGATCTGCTCCATGGCTCTTTCAGAGAACATGGAAAAAAGCTGTTCATCGATGGGGAGCTTCGAAGACGGCTTCAGCGTGGCTTCTGGTGAATTTTTCATATCAGTTTCTGGTGCTTCTGGAGCTCGTTCAGTACTCATTTTGGGTTTTATTTTTAATTTTGTTTGAATAATTATCAGAGGCACGAAACGATTGGTTTCCAATGTCACTTGTCATTATTGATTGTTTACGCTAGAATCATATGGCTGGGTCGTGGACAGAGTCGAACTAGGATTCGATCACTCATCGATACCGAGCATAATTATCTTCTATTTTTACTGTCGTCGATTGTGCGTTTTCTGATGGCTATAAACCAATTTTGGAGCCGCACACTCTTTCACACTTTTGGCACACCCAGCCTCTGGCAGCACTGTCTTTTCCTCTGTTCTCTCGCTCCTTCCTGCGGTCCCTCTTTTCGGTCTCGCGTGCCTGCGTCACTGTTCGTCAAAAGTGTTTGGTCCTTCGTGGACTACTTGACGCCATGAAGGCCTATCATTTGCCGTTGTCTCATCCCAGTTGCTGGTTTCGATGCGGCAGTCTACCATATTCTTTCTTAGAACATTCTTGTAGCGTTTTTGTTGACCTCCCTGATTTCGATTTTCCTCTTTTAATTAAAGTTTAATGCATTTAGGGCGGGTATTATAAAACTACTTTGAGAGTTAACTTCTGGAATTACATGTAATTCAAAAAGTTAACTTAAAGTTAACTGTCAGAGCAGTTTTATAATACCCACCCTTAGTTAGATTGAAAATAAAACGGGATGATATTATAATTTCGAAATAATAATATAGCAAAGCACTCCAAACAGAGCCGACTTTCGCACAAACAAGATGCAGTTATTCGCTTTCCGGCTTCTTTTAAACTTCTGCAATTTTGCAGTAATTTCAATCAACAAACTGTTCTTTTTCTTTTTTCTGATACAACCCTGTTGCGTGACTCCGTTCCACGGCTTTTCTCGTCGAAACTATCTCTTTCTCTTTTTGCATACTAGTTTAGAGAGAGACATACATATATTGGAAACAGACAGAGGGATGTGCCGAACTGCTTTTTCATTTCACGAGATCCGTGCACTCATCAAGCGCATGCGCAAGATGAGAACTCCACGAGCGCCCATTGGTTGAAGAGTTTGGCTTCAAAAAATGTGGAGATTTGTTCCACTGATTCGCTTTGGTTTGCATCCAGGGTCCAAATGGGTGTGTTTTGGTGCCGCTGTCGGAGCATTTCCGAACTACTCCAGTTGCGTTTTTCTTTAAAGAGCGTTTTACGTGCTGCAAGTGCGCATGCGCAAGATAAGAATTCCACACTCGCCTATTGATTGAAGAGTTCGGCTTAAATAAATGTCGAGCTCAACTGATTCGCTTTGGTTTGCATCCCCAGGTTCCAAATGGGTGTGTTCGGGTGCCGCTGTCGGAAGGATTCCGAACTACTCCAGTTGCGTTTTTCTCTAAAGGGGGTTTGACATGCTGCAAGAGTTTGGTGCAAGTCGTGAGAAAATCTTGCGAAAGGTCTGCGCAGTTGAAGCCCAGCTGACTGCAGGGTGCAAATCGCAGACTTATTGCTCGGTTCTGTTCGATGTTTCTGCAAGTGTATTTTTGGGAGAAAATTTGGTATTTTTGGCATGTTAACTTTCAATGGAAGGTTAAAAGTTGCTAGCTTAATAAAATATGTTTATTATCAGAATATGTCATTTTGTTTCAATCAGTTTCAATTTTCCATACAAATTTAAAATACAGGTAATTCTAGGTAGATTAGATTAGATTTATTTGAATGGAGATGGCGCGGAGGCGTCGTTTACCACTGCAGCCTTGTCAGAATTATTGTGGCATCTCCTATCTGTCCTTAGAGTGCGTTCTCTAGACCTGTTCTTTTTATTAGACTCCAGGGCTGGAACTCTGTAACGAGTAGAGATATTTTGTCTATTTCTATTGACGTCCCCTCTCTATTGATTTCGAAAAGAGAGAAGAAGACAGAAAGTGCTATAGCGATAGGGATAACGATCTCTATCCGTTACAGAGTCCCAGCCCAGGGACCTTATCCTTGAAACAGGGAAGCAGCGTTCCCAGGAGAACGAGTGTTCCATCTTTGTTACTTATATTATCATTTGCATATCATTGAGCAAAACGGAACACTCGTTCTCCTGGGAACGCTGCTTCCTCGTTTCAAGAATAAGGACCCAGTAGAGTCGTGATACTGGCCACTTCATATAGCTGGGCATTCACAAGACGAGAACCATGACATTGCATCAACAATCAGATGGCTTGGTTGAGAGATTCAACAAGACAATCGTAGAACATCTTAAAAAGTTTCGTTTGCGTCTATAACCCTCAAAAGAAGAAAGGTAGATCTCTCAAGCTAACACCAGCATGGTAAGGTCCTTACACGGTTATAAAGAGTTTTCACAACGCGGTCCCAAAAGTGGGATGAAGGTGAAGCATCTTGACAGGTTGATGATCAGATCGTCCATAATAGTTGTTACTGTTTGTGAAGTGAGTTCCAGTAAACCCGGAATCCGTGACAGCATATTATTATCCTTTAGATTAGGTTTTGTTGAAGATAGGCTCTCAACAATCATACATTCCTCATAGCTGGCTTCCCCGCCGTTTTCGCAGCTTTTCCACATGTTGTCTATCTGTCCGTTTTCGTCGAACGTTTACCAAATCAAAAATTTCAACTTGGTCGTTTGAATAAATAAATACAGGAAAAAATACGCAAATTAATGTGGAACTATCTTCAAAAAGCGTTTTCTTCATTGCAGTTTTGGAGTCATCATGATTTTGATGATAATGTTCCCCATGAAATGAACAAATGTGTGTTTATGGATCAAGCCATTTTTTTATTCAATATGCAATACACACAAGGCAGACTTTATTATATTGCTTTTAATGCTTTTTCTTACAACTGCTCAATAAGAATGCGCCAAACATCTTATAGGCTAAGACTAGGCTCACATGATAATTATTTATTAAGCATAATCACAAAAACGTGCATGATCCGCGTGTGGCTAAATTCACCAAAATGTTGCACCGCCACGGATGCGGTGATTACGATTCACTAATGCCAATGCCAAACCATACCTTACCAAACCCTGTTTAATTTAACAATACTGCTTCTTCTACCATTCCACCACGGTGCCTACATACCAGCTGAATTTTGCCACACGCGGTATTACTATTTTTAAAGCTAATTATGTGTTTTTTTTTCAGTGTAATACCCAAGCAAGAAAACACGGCCTTATTGGATTCTAGCAATTTATGCAGTAATGGAATAGCCGAGAAAAAGGCATGTAAAATTCCACAACAAAACATAACTTTCCGAAAAGTACACGAAAAAAGTAAAGCTGATACTGTTCGACTTTCCAGGCATGCTGATACACCATTGATATCATATAATAAATATAGGCCTCCGCGAATGATTACAGGACAGTACCTTAAAAAAAAAAGTAATAACATTATTCAAATCGATGTGCTTAGAAACGATAAAAGTATAGAACCAAGCAATGTGTCTGAAAATGAACAAAATGAAGACTCATCTGAAAATTATGCTAGAATGGAAAATCTGACACGTATACCGGAAGAACGCAATCACTCCTTTTCTGATAATGATATCTCAATAAATGCTATGCCAAATGACAAAATACAGACGAGTCTGGAAAAAAATGATTTTTCAAATGAGAATGGTATTGACGGAAAAGATGATACCTTTAAAATGACCATTTCAGAATTTGCCACAGGCGATATCGAATTGGATGTGTCTTCCAATAAGTCACCACTATTAAATGAAATGTCTTCGTTCAATGTCTCTATTGAAAATAAAAAGACATTTCCTTTATGTGCATCATCACAATTTGTGACTGAGAGAAAACAGATTAGGATACAGGAGGAAAGCACTTACTCCTTTTCTAATGATGATGTCTCAATAAAAGGTATGCCAAATGAAAAAGTACAAAAAAGTTTGGGAGAAAATAACTTTTTAAATAATGATATTGACAAAAAAGAATATACCTCAAAAATGACAATTTCAAAATCTTCCACAGACGATATTGGATTGGATGTGTCTTCGAATATGGTACCACTATCAAGTGAAAGTTCTTCGTTGAATCTTTGTATTGAAAATGAGAAAACAATTCCATTATGTACATCATCATCATTGGCCACTATAGGAAAGTTGATAAGGATACCGGGAGAAAGCAACTACTCCTTCTCTAACATGCCAAATGATGAAAAACAGGAAAGTTTGGGAAAAAACGATTTGTCAAATATTGATTGCTGCAAGAAAGAAGATACGTCAAAAACAACCTTTTCAAATTTTGCCAAAAAGGAAATTGCATCTAATGAGTCTTCAGATATTGCACTAACTTGGGATAATAGCAGTGTCCTATCAAATCTGAGCACTGAAAATGATAATAACTTCACATCGGATACATCTGTACCAGTTGTTAAAAAGAGAAAGCGGATAAGGATTCGTAAAAGGAAGAAGCCAAAGACATCAGTATTGGACTCTAAGGAAGAGGCACCTTTTAACTCTCTGTTCAAAACTAAGTCCACCCCAGATCGTTCCTGTTCTATTGTACACATACGATTTGGAGCAGACAAAATTGATTCAGAAAAAATGGAGGTCAATGAAGATGCTTCATCTGCTCCTGTAGATTCTGAAATTCTTAATGATGAAGATACAATCGTTGATAAGTGGAAACGTCATATTTCTGACGCTCCATTATTAAATACGATACCGAAAAGTGGAGATATCATTACTTTCAAGGTAAGGGTGTTAAAATTATTCCTGGTTGAAATTTGACACTGTTGGATAAAACATTGAATGTGAATTTGTTGAGGAACTAAGCTTAGATTTACTTTGTACTCTTGTTTAGACGTCAATATTCTTGAAAGAAAACTTTTTCTCGCATGATTTTTTTATTTATTTTTAAAGGGGGTGTGACCCTAAAAAACGACCTAAGCAACTTAAATCAAGAAAAAAAATCTAAGATTTCTCGTAAAAGTGAAAACCGCAGTCCTATATTCAAAAAAGTCTCCGAAAAAATTCCGTGTGAAGATAAATTATGCAGGAACTTGTGATGTCACAACCGCCGAAATCGTAGTCTTCTGTTCGTTCAGTCGTCAGTGAACCGTGCCCTATACTTCCAGTGGTTGTAATTCGCTCTAGGAGATAATTGTCTTTTGTTTTGGAAAATTCTTACACGTGTTCATACTGTCCCTGATAATCCGGTGTGACGTCACAAACACCTAGTTGTAACTTTCAACCGCCCTAACTCGAAAACGGACCATTGCATCGTAGCAAAATGCGGTTTAAAGAATTATTCTAAGATTTTTTTGCACTAAAACTTTAATTTCTGGGTCACACCCCCTTTAAGATACATTAGTAAATGTAATGAACGCCTTTTGAAACCTCTAAAAAATGACAATCTACACCAACGATATAACACACTACTACAGGGTTGCTTATCGGCCTCGATTGCCGACGTCATCAACGGTGTCCTCAATTGTTTGCGCCAGCGGTCGTAGTAGTAGAACATGAATTTACGAGGAAAAATATTATTTTATTTCGAATAACATGAAAGAAGCCAAAGGGGAAGGTGGAAACAAGATCTAAAAAAAAATTGTTTCAGAATGTTAATTAATGTATTAAAACCAAGTAAAAGCCAGCGGAATCATAGACTCTGGTGCAAATGCCCTACGTCAAGACGAGAAACGACACGCTGCCTACGTCACTAATTGTACTTTGGCATGGTGGGGGGCTAGAAATGTGCGCATGTGCATGTGCTGTTGCCACCTTAAATAGACTTGGGGGTGAAATACATATTTTTTTGTGATACATTCGATATTTTTCTCGACAGCTTTTCCAAATAAAGTTGTTATTTGAGAGTTATCATTTATAAATTCCCGTATAAAGATTTCTGGTTCATAGACTTTTTTTATTTCCATGATTATGATCATTGGACAGGGTTGGATGGGCTTAGACAAACCGGCCCTGGCAATTTTTTTCATCCAGCCCTCCCTTGGACGGCAAGAATGAAAAATGGGTTTCAAAAATTTTACTGTAAAGAATTTTGGAATTTTCATTTTCGATATTATTACATATAGATAGGTCACGGTGCCATTGTGACAAACAAATAGGACTTGACGTTTTCTCTTCCCTTAATTGCTCCTTGCATTACATTCCATTATCTTTTGTCTGTCAAGTGACTACTCTTATGGCTAGGATGTTTGAGAGAGATAGGTTGCCTGATAACTGTATGACGTCATCTGGGGTGCCTCATCCTAGCAGGAAAACTAAGGTCCAAAAGTAACCACTTTTCCAGGAACCAGAGTGATTAGTAATTAGATTACTTTCGGATCGCTTTTCTGTCGTTGCCACATCTTTATCTTTGGTTGAGGAGCGATGATTAACCCTCAGATTTGACTGGATTTGACCCATTTCCCAAAATCATAAATACTTGCTTCTTGGTGTTACTAAATATGTACCAAGGTCGAGTGTATAAATCGTGTAATTGTGAGACGAAATCGTGTAAAACTATGTAATTTGACCAGCATATCGTGTAATTTCACAAATTCAGATTGGCAACACTGCATTCTCAACTAAGCCGTCACCAGTGGTTTCGGACCTCACGCATAATATTCAGTTTAAGGCTATGGTCCGAATATAACCAAATGTTAACCAAAGTAACCGATCCGGTTGACAGATGGTTACTGAAATTCCGGTTACCTAGGGAACGCGAATATGAAATAAAAAATAATTGACAGAATTTACAAATAAAACCAACAGAACCGACATTTGATAGCCGGTAACTATTTTGACATTTGGTTAACCAGATTTCAGGAAACCAAGGTCCAAAAGTAACCACTTTTCCAGGTACCAGAGTAATTTGATCACTTTCGGAACGCGAAACCACAGCCCTGCTTTTCTTATTTCCACCAGATCGTTCTTTTCGAATTTGCCTTTTTCTTAAAAATTGTTCATATTTACCGGCGATCTTGGAATAAGGATGGACTTGTTTCGGTTATGGTTAAAGCTCCGATGACATGACTATAAGCTTGATCGTAGCATTTCTTGGCCCTGTCTTCGACCTATCAGAAATTCTTTCGAAAGCTTCCCAATAAAACTACTCTGGTGCGCTTGTTGATGCGTCAGAGCGTCGTTATGAGAATAAACAACAAGGATGGCCACTAAGAACTAGACAACATAAAGCTGTGGAAAGTTTACCAGAATTTGATTGGCCGATATCGATCGGCTGGCTGCTTAATTTAGCCTAAGCGGAAGTAACAGCAGAAATGCGAGAACAACTGGCGGCCGGAGATTTCATCAATGTAATTCAAAGATATGAATGTACAGAGAATGCTGTTCATAAACAAACCATCAAGTAGTAGTGGAGCTCTAATCAAAGTACTAAAGATCCAAGAGACCTATAAGATACTATCACAATCCAAACCAAAAATCAGAGTTGAGTCAACACAAGTAGAAAAAGAACCAATAGAGGAGAAATTAGAGACACGATAAGAAAAAAACTTCTAGAAGAATTACGAAAAGTTGTTACCAGAATCAGACAACGGCATTTGGAAGGAGGCATGGAATGCTACCGCTGCGAAAGAAGAGGATACTTTGAATGAGACTTTAGAGGATTTGAACGAGACTTTAGAATATGGGTGGGATCACGCCAACGACGTAGCTAAAGCTTTTACATGGGGGGGGGGGATTAGAGCAGTGGCGGCTCGTGGTCTATGCTGAAAGGGGTTTCAATTTTAGACCAGATGATGTATAGGTAACCTGGTTCAGGATATCGTCGTAGGCGAAAAATTTTTTCGGGTGCCACGCCCAAAAACGTTTATTTTTCTTAAAAAAAAAAATATATTCAGTTCAATGGGGGGGGGGGGGGGTCGAACCCCCAAGACCCCCCCACTTTTAATACGTCCTTGATGGATCTTGCTTCCCTTCCGATGACTCTCAGCGTTCGATTGAGAAGTTGCAACAGTACGATTTTCTATACAAACATCGTTCTGGTAAACTGCATAACAACGCAGATACCTACCTTATCCAGGCGACCATGCCCAGTTCGAAGCACTGTTTAGCAGTAACACTTTTCAAAACATATTTGTTCGAACAAGCGCTTCAGGGGTGGAAAAAGAAATACAGACACTTTGGGGATACCGGTTACTGAATACAATCGATATCTTCGAAACTTTAAAGGTGATCAAGTTTCAATTGCACAAGAATATGATGACCTAGACATGTCACGTAAATTAATAGAGGAATACGATAAATGAGGTTTGGAAGAAAAACTGACGAAAACAGAATATAGGACCATGGGGGGGAGAACAACAAAACCTGAAATTGTATAATGGACAGGAAATAGAACAATGCACTGAATACGGATATCTGGAAATGAACATTTCGCATGAGGGAACCCTTGACACAGCAATTAAATTCCGGAATCTACAAGGACGGACGAATGACTGAAATGGACTTTTGGAGGAGAGCGGCAGCGGCAAGCATGTCAAAAATGGAAAGGATAAGAAACCAGAGAAATTATGAACGTAAGACAGACAATAGATGATATCATTGATATAAAAGACAAACAACTGATTTGGTTACATGTACAAACAATGGCAGATACGAGAATACCCAAGCAAATAATTTAGTGGAACAGTGGAAACCACTGGGAAGAAAAAGACCAAGAAGAAGCTGGGAAAGTGGAGTAGATTGGGAAATGAGAGGCTTGGAAGAGGATGCCTGGACTGACAGAGACGGTTTGAGATCAAAAATCGGAAGAAGTAGATCGTTATAGGCCGATAATTATACCTATGTATATAGAAAACATGGAAACAATTATTCATTAATGGTGAACATAGGGCAATGTTGTAAATTGTATACCAATATTGTGACAATATTTCATCTAGGATCTAGTTTATTTAATTCGAAATAGTGTATATTCTGGAATTAATCAAACTATGGAATATTATTATTATGAATAAAGACAAATACGACAATATTAATAAACCTTAGATGGACCGTTTTGAACTCATTGGCAAGTGTCTTCACTTGTAGGACGATGATCAATCTCTCGTAGCTATGTCACCCGTTGAATTTTGAAAAAAAAACAATATCCGTAATAGTGTTAGAGGCTAGCGAGATTGTTGAGTCTACAAATCCAGTGAGATTGTTTACATCTAGCAGCCGCGCTGGCCTTGTACAACCACACCAAACTTCCAATGAACTCCGTATCACAGACTTACGCGAAGAGTATGCCTTGTGTACGTGGAAGTTTAAGTTATGGAAAAAACTTATAATCAATCAATCAATTAATTAATCACTACAGTCAAAATTGGTTTATCGAAACCAATGACATCTTAACACAGATAGACACTGCATCTCATGTATAAACTGATGTTTGTTGTGATGACAAGACCCCTTATGGGCCAGGAGAGGTGAGCTGCTCGAGGGGATCATGGTAGGGATGCATCAGTGGTGTAAACAAGACCCGTATTCCCCTTTGAACCCATCATCCACTTGATCAAAATAATGAAGAAATGCGCACGGGTGCAACTCGTTTATCTATTTGTCTGCCTGCCTTTAACTCATATGACTGTGCATATGATAATATTATAAGTTTGTTGGGCGCGTTGACATGCCAATCGATTGCAGCGTGTGTTCCGCTTGTCTTAAAGTCGTTTTTAGTCTCGAAGCTCCAACTTTTTGAAGCACAATCATAACAGGATAAAATATCAATCCGTAATAATTTGGCAACC